ATATTTAAGGTGTACTATCAACTACCAACAAGATGATTGGACAACCCTTCTGCCATTGGCAGAGTTTGCTTATAATAATACGGTACATTCTTCCACGCAACAAACACCTTTCTTTGCCAATTATGGCTATCATCCACGACTTGATACTTTTGATTTTTCAAGAGTTGATAATCATGCAGCAGAAGATATGGCAAATCGGTTGTGAGAGTTACATGCAATAATGAAGACGCAATTGAAGGAAGCTCAAGAACGACAAAAGATAAACGCAGATCTATATCGTAAGGACCAACCACAACTCAATGTGGGTGATAAGGTATGGCTACTTCGTCGCAATATCAAGACTACTCGACCTTGTGACAAGTTGGACTATCGTAGGCTTGGCCCCTTTTCTGTTTCTGAACAGATCAACCCAGTTGCATATCGGTTACATCTACCAGAGTCAATGAAGATCCATCCTGTATTCCACGTGTCTCTTCTTGAACCATATAAGACAGTAGATATACAAGGAAGAAGACAAATGCCATCGCCTTCTATAGAAGTAGATAATAATGAAGAATTTGAGGTGGAAGAGATATTAGACTCAAGGCGGCGCCGAAATAAGCTGGAATATTTTGTTCATTGGCGTGGATATGATATTAGTGAACGCACATGTGAGCCATGCAGGAATCTAGGAAATGTATCAGCTAAAGTCAAAGTTTTTCATCAACGACATCCATCAAAACCAAGATGAAAATCTCTCTTATAAAAGAGACAAGATTGAGACAAGATAACATTCAATTTCTTATCCTTGTTTGTAACTTCTTTGCATTTGTGACGCTAATTAGATGGAGAGCCAACAACTAGCAGATTCAACTCAAGAACCTTCGTTTGTTGACCTGCCGGATGAGACATTACGATTGTCACAACCTTCAAGACGACGCAATCGAGATGAAGATCTTCAAGAACGACATATTCTTCCTCGAACAGATGGTGAGATACAACGCGTTTGGTATCACGATTTGGGAAGGGACTCTCGATGTTTGGTGATTTTGCTAGAGGTAGGAACAACTCCTGATGGTGTTCCAAATATTCTATTCGAAGGAAGTTACGAAGGCCTCAACAATGATCAAATAACTGGGTGGTCTTCCCGCCCTGGTATGGGACACTACCGATGGTTGAGAGGCCCTATCAATCATCTTCGAAGAGAACAGAGATCAGAGTATGTGGCGAATATAATTCGTCGCATCATAGATTTCCTCAACATATGATGACCGCTCCTCGTGGAACTCGTCTCTAGAAGGGGGGATAATGTCACGGCCATAATCATGTAAGCTAATAATTACATATAGAAATAGGTAGAAGTAAGTAAAAGTAGATAAAAGTAAGTTAATTCTATAATATTTAATATAAAAGCTTCCTAGAAACTTCCTAGACGCGGCTTTGACTTCATAGGTGTCTTTAATTGACTTTTTGGATTAGAAACGTGGTCAACAAGTTGGCCATGTGCCACACATGTTGTTAGCTTGAAGATCAAGCTAACTATGTGGCCCACACGTAGAAAAACTTGCCTTGTAAGTCAAGGCATGTGTCCTACAAAGTCAACACATATTGGAGGTCCTATAGAACGTCGCCACGTAGCCCCTAGTTAGATAGTATATATAGAGACAAGAGTGAAGGCTTCTTCACTCTTGTCAACTCCTTTCTTGCTTCTAGTCTAGTTTCAAGGGTCTCTAGTTTTCTTGTCTTTTGGCAATAGCCATTCTAGTTTCTCTTTTCAATATACATACTTATTATTCATATTTTGTTACTTTTCTTTGAGTGAAGGCTTACTTGTCTGAACTGTTTTTTTCATCGAGTTCTTGTCCTTGACACAAAGCCCAAATCAACTACAATAAATTTTATGATATCTAGGTCTTGGACAAGCCATGGAACTTCACATTGAAAGAGATTGCTCTTTTTTTTTGATTAATTCTAGAAGAGACAACATATTATTTAGGCTTTACAATGGAATTATTGATATTTTCTAAAGTATAATTTGAGGTTGCCATAAAATCTCTTAAAAAAAACTAATGTACTTGGCTATAATAAATCTTTTTCCAACAAGTTGAATTTTGATAGTTAACCAAAGTTTTTTTGTACTTTAATATGGTACTTTGCTTCTTGCTTGAGTCTGGACCTTCAAACAATACAAAAAGTATAATCTCTCTCATCTACAACTAAATTTGGAGTAGCAAGAATAGATAACAATACTGTCAAGTAAAAATAGCCTTGAATTTCTTACTCATATATAAGTTTATATACCACAAATTCTAAAGACAAGATAATGAAGATTATATGTTAAACTTTGTACTAAGTTTGAGTTGTGATCCTTGGAGGCAATCTATAACATAGAGTTTTCAATCTCAAAATGATATACCTTAAATCCATCATTCTGATAAGGTTAGTTTAGAACCTTTTTTTTACCTTTTTAAGTCAAAATGGTGTGCAATGCCACCTTTTTCAACTACTCCATAGAATAAGGATATTAAATTTTGATAAAAAAAAAAAAAAAAACAAAAACAAAAAAAAACAAACTTCACATTTTCACATTATTCAAGCTTAATCCAATATGACTAGCACAAAATCTAAAGATCCCATTAAGTTGATTTTGGACCCGAATAAACTAACTAAACTCCAAGCATTTCTTTGACAAATTTTCTAAGAGGACTACTTATATGTAGTTGGTGTGTTATAATAAAATTCCTTCAAGATTGCCATTGTTATAATAAGGCTACTTTCAAAACTTTGGAGTATTGTCTTAAACTATGCAAGGATGGTATTCAGATTTAGAACCATTTCAATTCCACCTCAACTAACATTGGGCATTACTCACAACCATTATGGAAAGAAATCTTTATTAGAATTCTCCTGGGTTCATGGTTGCTTAAAATATAGAGACTAGACACTTGTCATTTGAGACTAACAAGAGATGTTTTATGAGATAATATCCTTTGGCAAGTTTGATATGTTTTATGAGATAATATCCTTTGGCAAGTTTGATGCGTTTAATGAAGGAAAATCTTTGCTAACAAAGCCAAAAATGTTTTTCTTGTTATCCATAAAATATGGAAAAAAACCATCTTCGCATGCATGGGCCAATGCAACCATATCATGAGCTACATTGAATCTTGTAGTCTGATTAAAAAAGCCACTCTGGTAGTAGAGTTTTGAGAAATTTGGTCTCACAACCAAATATTTTGCACCAGCGACTTCTTCTCTCCTAAGGCAAATGATCTAATAACCCCATGAGGGACCAGGGCCAACTTGTGTTTCTTTCTCTTTAATTTATCACTGTTGCATATATATATATATATATATATATATCACAGATGAAATAATAGAATTTCACAGTGCATATTGTTGCAAATAAATAGCTAGTAAAACGCATTAGAATGATTTTATAATTATACATTATGCCACCTAGAAAGTATCTTTATTTATTCTGTTCATTTTTTTTTGTTGTTGTTGTTGTTTTTTTTTTTTTTTTTTTTTTTAATCCAATTATTCGAAAGTATCTGGTAGATCCCGTTTTGTGTCGAGAATGCAAAACAAAATGGGTGAATGCAACAACTTTGAAGGGAGGGACGGCATCGCCGTGTGGCTGGTGCCGAGTCTTCGGCGCGTGACGAGATGTGCGTTGTGTCAGATCTCTGGTGAGGATTGTGACCAGGTGATCTAGACTGCCCCCAGGCCCCGATTGATTCTCGCCATGCGGTTGGGCGACTCTGCGCGTCATCTTTATTTGGGGCATCTGATCCGCGACCCCTCCGCACTGGCGTCATGCCCAATTCGTACCACTGATGTCCTCGCCGAAGTACTGTGGAAGTACTCTAGAAGTACCGTCCCCGCGCCTTCCGCCTGCTCTGGCTCGCTGCCCGCCTGATTTAGAACACCTAGCCTAGCTCCCCGCTGCTGCTGCTGGTCCGATCTGGATCTCTGATCTAGGGTGCGGTGGTTGATGCACAAGCACATGCCGTGACGTTGGCGTGATGTTTCCAGATAATAAAACAGTCTTTAAACTGATTGCGAATAATCAGAGGAGAATTGATAAAATAGTAGAATATTTTTGCAGCAAGCTTCTGACAATCTTCGTTTTCCCCGAGTTTACTCAACTTGTAAATTTCCTGTTTTCTATTGAACGTTTTTGTTTCAAGAGCAATACCGTATTCACGCCACATCTCTCCGTTTCAATGGCGCTGGACTTGTCTGAGAAGAATGCATGTCTGAGCTTCTGGGAAAGAGAAGTTGATTGATGTAACCGCAGCTTGCGTCTCGAGAGACCCATTGTGGTCATGGTTCAGTTTGAGAGCAGACGTGGGAGTCTAAGCAAACCAGCTCAGAGAAAGCGATTCCTCGTTCAGGAGCTCTACTTCGCCCATGATGTTTTCAACGTTTCCAATGCCGCAACAGTTCGTTGTTTCATAATTTGGAACCTATGCTGTTTCAGTCAGTAGTCACTGAATCTTCCAGTTCATCACATGGATTAGTCGGACTCTTTCAGAATATGTTCCTCAACAGGTGCCTGTGACAAGTAGTTGAAGATGCGGCATTGACAATGCGTAGTATCCTTCAGTTTACTTCACGTAGACATGAACCACTCGTGCAAGCATTCGGGGAATACAAAGAGAACACGAAGAACAAAAGAAAATACATCATAAACTGATAAATTCCAAACTTCTTCCGAACCTGAAACCGAACCTGGTTCCGACGTAGTCTTAAACCCCACTTGAAACGTTTCTGATCGCCACCTGAGCTGGTTGAAAAGTACTTCCACCTGCCACTTGGACGCCATTACGTTCTTCGCCCTATCGGGGCAGCCAGGAGCGACTGGAAGCATTTATGTAACCACTTTTCCGTTGATCCCTCGGGAAACTCTCCCGGATTCTCAATTTTGGAATATGGATCTACGGCAGTGAATATCCCCAACCCCTCAGTGGACTGTCTCCTATCTCCCACTGCAGCGCCCTAAACCCCCTTTCTGCCCCCGAAATAGGCTTGCCTTTTCCATCTCCGCTTTCCGGCTTTGCAGCTAGTCATGCGAAAGATTACGTGGGAAACGCAGCCACTTCGAACTTCACAGACAAGTTGTGAGACTGTCGGTTGCCACAGAACTTGCTGTCCAGATACTTTGGTGGGCGGGTTAGAGATGGTGAAACATTGCCTTTCTCGTTTAGGTTGCCATTCGTAGCCCTCGCAGCTTCTAAAGTTGGAACTGTCAAGTTTCTTACACCATCACCCAACTCTCAATGTTTGATGGAGTGTCAAGGTTGGAGTCAAGGTTGAGTGATTGAGGGGGTGCGTTTTGTTGGCGGTAACGGAGAAATGGAGTCACTTCAAAGGGAGATCATGGTGAGAGACAACCCAGGTGACGGCGACAGCAGCCAAAGCATAGTGCTCCAGTGTGGAGCGCCTGGGGATGTGGAGCAAGGGGAAGAAATGGTATGTGGTGAAACTCGCGGTAGTGGGATGAGCCTGTCGGCAGCCTTGCAGGCATACTGTGGGGGGTTGCAGTCAGAAAAGTTAGTAGAGAGATTGGGGATGCAAAGGCTGGCGCGAGGTCTTGCTGCAGAGTTTGAGAAGTGGGGTGACTTGGAGAAGGTGTGGCGCGTGGCCAAGAATGCCTGTGAGACGGGTGTTGGTTTGGCAGGTGACAGCGAAGATCTGGTGAGAGCTCGTGTTCCGAATCAATCGGTTGGAGACCTCACGAAAGACTGCTTCCACAGCGAGCGTGGTGATTTGTTCGTCTCTCTCAAGAAGTCTCGTTTGTATTGCGGGTAGCTTAGATTGGCTGGTAGTGGGATTGGAGATGAAGTGGTTACAAAACAGATTTTCCCTTTGCATGTTGGAGTCTAAGAAGTAGTAGATCTATCGTACTTGGTCATATGGGAAGAAATCAGTGCTTGAAGGGGTTGCAAATCCCCCCAATTTTTAAAAATTTTAATGTGTTTTATTTCTTTTGGCTGTTTTCACTAGGGAAAATATGATGCATCATGTTGCCGAGATTACACATTGGGCTGACGCTGGTATTCTGCGTCTGCAGGTTACCGAAGAAGTGTTGGGAAAGGACGACGCCAGACACGGAAAAGCTTCATGCCCCGAAGGTTTGGAGTTGACGATTCTCGTGACGAGGTGCATTTCGGACACGCTTGTGTGAACTTTCCGATGTACGAGTTAATAATGCTTTCGTTTGGTGCATGGATTTTTTTCTGAACCTCGTGCTAAGTTTTCACGCATGTTGTCATGCAGGTCCAGAGGGATTCCACTAAGAAAAAGAAAGAGGAAATCAAGGACTCTTATCCAGTGTCAGGGTATAATTGGGCTTTATCGTCTTGCTCAGATGCTACAGATAGCGAGACTGAGCAATGCACTAGAAAGAAAAGCAATGTAAAGAGGAAGAGGAAAGAAAATGATGCAACTGAGACCCCGCAAATGAGGCGTGAAATGTTTTGCAAACGTACTAGCGCTCAAAGGTCAAGCAGCTTACGAGATCAAGAAGAATCTGTAGACTGCGACGAGGAGTTGACAGGAATGCAAGCTCTCTTGGAAATGCAATTAAAGGTATCAGCTCGTTGTCTGCGTCTAAACTGGTTGACATTACCACCAGTGTTTATGATAACGTGTGTCTGTACACATTTCCAAATGGTCCCATGTTGCTCATTCTTGCACATGTACTGATGATAATCTCCTTCTACTGTGTATCTAGGCCTCGGAGAGTAGTGAAGCAGGAATGAATCAGTGTATGGAGATGGTGATGGATATGCTATTCGTATACACGGGGCACGCGGAGAAGCGTGTCAGCCACCTTGAAGAGCTGGCGCAACCGAACGAGCAAGTCTTGGACAGAATCAGTGATAAGCTAGAGAAGGTTATGGAAGGGTTGACTACTTTGAACGAGAACCTGACAGTCCTGTCCGCCTGCTTATTCAGCAATTTAGGGCCTCAACGACCCCATTGATTTGATATTGTACATTTCACCTGTGTTGTCAAGATTTGTATCTTTTCGTTGCAAAACAGAAACTCGATGAGGAAAACAAGTAGGGCAGAGAAAGATCCAGGTCAGAAGTGTTTAGAGATACCGTTGTGGTGCAGGCGCGTTTCTTTTGATCGCATTCCTGTTGTGGGAGCATATGTACATATTGCATCAGTTGTTGAACATACTACTTGGAGATTCAAATCGGATCATACAAGAGTTTCACATTTATGTGCTGTCTGTCTTAGTTTACTCAATTGTCCCTATGCTCTGTGGAAATCATTAGCAAGTCCGACCTTGACCACATTCGGGAGTGTTCTCAAAATCAATGTCAGGAGGTAGTGAATAGCAACTGCATCAATAATGGCATGCGAAGCGAGGTTCCTTTCAAATAAGAGGCAGCCGGAAAGCACCGAAGAATGATAGTCAATGGTCTAATCCACCCCCGGATGGATTACTCCATAAGCAACAAAGAAATGTAGCAACAAGCGACTCTGGCAGAGAAATCAGTAAAAATTCAAGAGAGGTGAACCCAAGCAGGTGGTCCTTGGCGGAACCTTTTCTGCCTTCAAATCGACTGCGACAAAGATGACCCTGCGCATTCCACAGCAAATTGTCCAGCAGCTCAGGTACTAGTGACAATATCACCATCAGTCCCGTTACTTTGTTTGGACACCCCCACTGGTTCCATGTAGAAAGTGGAGGAAATCGCCGGAGCAGCCGTTAGCTGCGTCAATCTCAAAATACTCTCCCAATGTCACCAGAGCATAAATTGCAAGCAGCCATATTATTGTACAGCACTGGGGTACCCTTTGATCCTGGCTTCTTTCGCGCTTCACAATCAGTTTCATGATGCTACTCCTCTCGCCGAGCTTGTGGCTGATAAACTTTCACATGAAGATGTCTGTCATGGCAATAGCTTAGTAGGGCAAATGCTAGCTCCACGCCTTCGTCTCGATATGGTCATTCTCCACACCAGGACCAATACCAAATCTAGGACAATCGGAAACTAATTAGCCCCTTCAGTTTGGCTTAAACCGAAATCCTGAGCGATTCCTAATTGCTTTGAATCAACCGACTTTAAGCTCCTCGAACATCGATGTATGCAACAAATGGTTGGTAAATTGGGTGCTGATCATCACCAGCGTCACAAAAGACAGCATCTTCGTTGTGTGCGTCATACAAGAGTGTCTTCTTCCAGTGGAGGGAAAAGCATGTGATTCGAAGGACCGACAATCAAGCTCCACTTTTAATACTTCCACTTTTTTCATCCATGGTTTTGTTGTTTTGACCAGTAACTTTTTGTGCAATCTGTCTGAGCAGCGATGGCCTAAGGCACGCAACCCACAAGTGAAAGTCAGATCTTCGAACAACTCTCGCAGCCAAGATGTGGAAGTCTCACCTCGCAATCTGTAGTCAAATTCTTGTGACTATTCTACTTGTGTCACCCACGTTGCGCAGTTAAAAGGGTGTCGAGGACCCTTCCTCACTCACTCTACATAAATTGCACATCTGGAAAGATTACCAAACTTTTCAGACGATCTTGAACCTCGCAAATGTTGCGTTTCGGATGCAACATGGTTGCTGTCATTTTTTCTGTTAAGCATGCACTCACCCATGTCTGAGACATCTCTTCAACGATCTCCTGCCATCAAATCACCACTCCTGGTGCAGAAACTGGGTCCCTCCCAGGCTTCTGAAACATTACAACTATAGATGCAAAGTAGTGAAAATAAAGGCAATGGCTTGAATTCCTCGCGATTTATAATATGTTGAAATTTGAACATCTTTGTTATAATCAACTCACCAATGGGAAGCTAAACCATGGATTTTGGAAAATTTAGCACAAATACGTTGGTTCTTGGTGTGTAAAGTTGTTAAAAATTGTGATTCATAAAAAGCAGTAGTTTTTCATATGAATTGATGCCAGCAACAAGATTTTACATATGCATGTACAAACGTTACTAAATAACACTTTCATAAATGGAACTTAAAGCTTTACAAATTTTATTGATTATTGTTAAATAAAAGTATAAAACCACTTCTTTAAGGTCAAGAGTGAGTGTTTTGAGAAGTTTAAATAGTTTTGTAAAAAATGTGAGTACTAAGATTGAACAATTAAGGAAGTTATGTTTAAAAAATATAATGGTTTTTTTTGAAGAAATATGGTACATTATATTTTATTAAATAATAAAATAAAAAAGCTTGTAATTGATACTATTACAAAATTTTAAAAAATAATAAAAATATATATTTCTTCATGTATAGTATTTGAATAATAAATTATAGACATTAAAGTATCTATTGTCACAGATATATTATATAAAGTACTAAACAAGAATTTCAACAAAAGAATTTCAACAACAAAGCTAATAAGAGCTTAATTAAATCAAATGAGTGCAAGATCAACATCAAGAGAGATGAGCTAGAGCTCCAAAAAATGTGTTGCCAAGACAAAGAATCTCCTCAGCCTCAATTTTAATATATATTAAGTATTAAGAAGCTTCTCAAAAAGTTTTTATGTTACTTGAAGATAAAGCAACCTTAGGACACTTCTCAAGAAGTTTTTATGTTACTTGAAGACAAAAAAATCTTTAAAAGCTTCTCAAACAACTTCTTTAATTAACTTAGAATTTTTTAGAATTTATTAAAATATTTTTAAAACTTTTTAGAACTTTTAGAAATCTCTTTAAAATATTTTATTAGAATATTTTGAAAATCTTATAAAATCTTCTAAATATTAATAGAATATTCTAAAAATATTTTAAAAAATCTTCTTGTTGGATGTTTATAACATCACATCTCCTTCTAACTCTAACTTCTGCAAAAAAAACATCAATTTCATATCTATAAAAAAATGATTTAAACTTGAGTATTATCTTCAAAGTTTTCTTATTTAAATTAACTATAGCATAGATATTTATTCTCTCAAGAAGCTCTAACTTTATCTTGAGCTTAATCTTGCAAAGATTGTAAGAATTGAAATGGCTGATCTCATAGCAATGATATGGAAAGCTCCAATTCTAGCTCTACTATAAGATTTATGATCTAAAGACTCTGTAAATACTCTCTAATTTGATAAATTGGATCATAAACTATATACACTAAACTCTGAGGTTGTTATGAGCAATACTTGCTTTCTTTATAATATACATCATCTTAGCAGTAGCTTTACAGAGAAGTCATCTTAAAAAAGGTTTAAGTTTTTGAAGATAGTTTTGATGAAACTCCAGTACCTTTTGCATTGCATTAATTAGATTTTCTATTATTCTTACATGTGCTCATTGATATCATAAGAATACCAATGAATAAAATATTCCAACTTATCTCTTTTTTGCCTAGAATCAAAGATCTTTTCTATGTCATATTCTACATGATTATCTATTTCAATGCTAGGCAATGATGGTTGTATTGTTTTTGAAATAATTGATTATGAATAAGCCACTGAAAAAGAAACATGAAAGTTTGGATGTTCCTTCATGGATGTAGGTAGTTTCAATCAATAAGCCATTGGATTGTTTTTCTTTTGAATGCAAAATGGTTTCAATCTTTGGTAGTCCAATTTATTGCAAAGTTGATTAGTTTTGATATTTGTTAAAGAAACCATATTTTATTTCCAACTTAAAAAGTAATGATTTTTTTTTTAATTTTTTGTAAAGATACTTTATAAAAATCTTGAGTTGCTTGTAAATAAAGCTTTAAAGTTGTCTAGAGTTATAACAATCATTTTACAAGAACTCCAGCTACTGGATTTTCATCTTTTGGTGTACCTAAAAAATCAAGCTTCAAATGGTAATCATAGTTTGTCTAAAATAGTATTTGATGTGTTAAAGCATGAAGAATATTATTATAAGCAAACTCCACTAAAGATAAATATGAGGTCCAATCATCTTGTTGATAGTTGATGATACATCACAAATATTGCTCTAAAATTTAATTTACTCATTTTATTTGATCATTAGTTTGACGGTAGAAGGTAGAAAAAATATTTGATATCCATCTTCAATAACTCAAAAAAAAATTCCAAAACTTTGATATAAATTGAGGTCCTTGATTAGAAATAATATCATCAAGTAGGCCATGATATCAATATATATTATCAAGAAAGAGCCTTATTTTTTCTTCTTTAAAAATTATTTTTTTGCATAAGATAAAATGTGCCATCTTTATAAATAAATCTATAATAATATAGTTGGCATCAAATGTAATTGATGGTAGTAAATCAATGATGAAATCCATTAATATTGAAGACTATGGTCACTTTAAAATTGGCAATAGCTATAGAAGTCCATAAAAATAATGACAAGAATTCTTGGATCTTGAATAGATGTCATAAAAAAACAAATTCTTTTGCAATCTTCTACATTTGAGGCTACTAGAAATCTTGAGGGATAAATTCCAATATTTTATTAAATCCAAAATATCCTATAGCTGAGAAATCATGTGTCACAGACACAAAATACAGACTTGAAATCTAACAAGAAGTTCAAGAAGAAGTGGCAGAACTAGATTAAACAGATGAGTACAAGAACAACACTAGAAAGGTGAACTAGAACTCCAAGAGATGTGTTGTCGAGACTAAAGAACTCTTCAGCCTCGATCCCTATATATACTCCTACTTAGGAAGCTTCTCGAGCTACTTCTATTAACTAGGAAGCTTCTAGAAGGTTTCAGAGGCTTCCTTTCTAGAAGATTCTAGAAACTTCTCGAGCTACTTTTATTAACTAGGAAGCTTCTAGAAAGTTCCAGGGGATTCCTTTCTAGAAGCTTCTAGAAACTTCTCTTCTAGAAGGTTCCAGAGACTTCCTTTCTAGAAGCTTCTAGAAACTTCTCTCTAAAAGGTTCCAGAGGCTTCTCTTCTAGAAGGTTCTAGAGGCTTGTTTTCTAGAAGGTTCTAGAAACCTCTCTCTAGAAAGTTCTAAGGAATATGTCCCTAACATCATCCCCTCCTTTAGCTTCGAGGTCTCTGAGAAGCAATGTTGTTGATCAGTACCAACGCAAGAAAATGAAGATCTGTCACATAACTTCTACTATGAACTCCAACTGTTGTTCACGAGGCAAGTGGTTCATCGACCCTTGAAGCCAACGGTAGTGGCCCACGCCTTCGACTTCTGACCAAGCATGAACTTCCGTGTCCTCATTGTGAAATTGTCCTACAAACACGCCTTCTGGTTGACCATCGTAAGCAGGCTCAATCTCAAATACGATCACCAGTGATCGGTTACTCAG